CAGCGTTTAAACGACGTGTTGACTAAATAATCTCTTCGATTGGTCTCGTTTAGTCGCTTTTAAAAAGCTGACAGGAAAATTGAATAGGTGCTTTCTGCAGATATTCCAGCTACGCCTGCCTCCTCGCTCGGCGCCGTGCCTTTTGGCGCCGGCTCCTAAAATTGTTTGGACTGTTCCCTCGTTACAGAGTTGCTCTAGCAACAGCTGAATGGCTGCAGCTGTGCTGGAGGACGGTTACCGCCGTCGAAGCTCTTTTCTGCTCGTAATCACGCCAGCTCCTTTCACAACAACAGCGTGAGAACGACGGGGCTAACAGGGGTGATTAATTGTAGGTGTGAGGATAATTTCATTTGGATGACCTTAAGTCAGAGAGGAGACGGTGGAGGGTGGGCGTGCGCTGCTGTAAACAGAGAGGGAGACTTTACCAGCTTCACTAATGGGGCTTTCAGAGATGACGGCCGAGAGCCTCGTAATGGAACGGCTTTTAATTGATCTGCGTCGAGGTTTGCGTTCACTCGGGCGGCAGGAAGATAATGAAGAGATGCTGTTATGAAGTTAAAGCTGCACCAGCAAAGGCCTGGAAGTCTGGGGACCTGTGTGGTTTGTGTGAATGCAGTCGCCTCGGCTGAAACGGGGATGTGGTGGCGATCGGGCCGAGCTGAGAGGAAGCGACGCCTTCGCCAGGTTCCCCAAAGTCGACGTAGGACGCACGGAAACCTTTCCTGAACAATGGGCTGTTGTTTGACTGATGCACAGCAGCCTCACTCACATCGAGCTTAAATATTAATCATTAATGTTTGTGCGTTACTCTGTTTAACTTCTGCTTTGTTTGGATGAAACGTGAGCGTTTTAAAATCCTCCAAACTGTCGTCTGTCTCAGGAAGTAGCACCAAAGTGCATCACGTAGATTTGTTCCCTTTACTCAGGCGACCACGCCGAGTTTCTCGGTACCGCCTTTCATGAGACGCCGCGTAGAGAAGTATCGAAGAGGAAACTGAATATTCAGGTTAACAAAGAGCAGCTGTCGCCCTGATTCACAGAACAGTTTTATTTATTTTGCTCATTAGGTGCAGAGCGACAGATCAGCTGTGTAATATCAGCGAGCGATTATTAAAAGACACAGAGACGTGGCCGAGGCTGCCGCTGACACGAGGCTCGCACACCTACAGCCAGGTTACACTCGCCCGGTGTGGGCGTCTGTGGACTGTGGGAGGAAGTAAACCCACACAGGAAGCCCTGCAGGTTCAAACAGAGGGCAGCAGATTCACAGCACACAAAACATTTTACAAATAAAACCAAAAATATATCTATAACCGAGGGCTGCACGATTTTGCATAAAATGAGAATCACGATTCTCTCACGATTTTCTTTTCCAGTATAAATATTTATTGCACTTATTAACTGCACATCAACTTCGTAACAGTTGAGACTGAACATAAAAACAATAAATAA